GGGTTTATCTTATTATAGCCACCAGAGAACACTGCTTAGACATGGGTTTAAGCCAAGAGAAAGTCTTTATTAGCCAACCAACAACTATACTGGGTGTTGGGGATCCCGATTTAGCACAAAGCCTTTTCAGGGTGAGCTTTTAAGCACAAAAATCATATTCTGGTTGACATACTTCAGTTAACAAGAACGATTAGCCAGAAGCAGAACTATAAAGGCTAAAAAGCAAGGTTAGAACATTTTGAGACTTTCCCAGAACTATGGATTTAGATGGATTAGGCCTTTGTTTTCATTTTGACATGTGTACTCTCTGTGAGCTGAGTTTCATGGCCTGAACGGTATTTCCATCATGGAGTCAGTTGTGCTAAGGTCTGGGGACCAGTTCCCAGCAACCACTCGAAGGCTCATAACCATCTGTTACTCCATTTCCGGGGCATCTGGTGCCCTCCTCTAAACTCCCTGGGTACCAGGTATGCATGAAGTGAACATACATACACACAGGCAAAAGACTCATACACATAATACAAACAACAACAAAACCAAACCCAAGCCCCAAGCATATACCATTTAAAATATCTTCTGCATTTAAGAACATACCTTATCTCTTTCACTGCCTAGCTTAGAGAGCAGTGTCAGGGAACAGTCTGGTTTTATTGGTTAATTCAGTCTTCGTAGACTAGGGAAGTCTTTGCTATCCTATTGATTCTGTTCTTACTCAGATTTACTCTACTTTCCTTCGGGTTTAAAAGCTTCACTCATTCTCACTTTCCCTTCAGTCCATTCCTTTTGCCCGCCCTGCCTCCTGAGTGCTGGGGTTAAAGGCCTGCATCACACTCACCTTCCTGCAATCCATTCTCAGCTTGATGTGTCCTCTGCTTACCTGCAGATTCCAGCACACGGTAAGCTCATTGTTATTCTAAAGACGGTGCGGCTTTGATTTTGAAATCCCTTTTAACTTGTGGACTTTTCCGTAGAGCATTGATTGTGGGGTATGCTTGTTTTATTGTTTTGTTATCAGTGAGTGTATCCTTTACGATTTCAATTTCCCAAAAGTGGTGGCCAGTTTTGGTCAATGTTCTGTGTGAGTTTGAAAATAATGTAAACTTTGAATACAATATAGTGTAGGCATGAGTTATGATTTAGTCTTGTGAGGTATGTTTTCCAAAATCCTTATATTCACAATGGAGGTTTCAGTCAACTTGGTCACTTCCTGGAGATTGTATAAATATTACTATTATTCTCAATTTTAAGATGAGGAAGCATTCCCAATCAGACCTCAGAGTAAGTCACAGGGCAGCTGGCTTGTTGCACAGTGTGCACACGGTACACTGGCACACTCAGGGGATTTAGGAATTTCCCTTCTACATCTACACCATCGTTCCATACTTCCAGGGATGGTCTGCACATGTAGTTTTGTTGACACCTGCAAATTGTGGGTCTGATCAATCTGAGGGACTCGGTCAATGCTTACAATCTCAAATATAATTCTTGTTTTTGAAGTAAGGATGTCACCATTTGCCTGTAGACCAGGCTGGCCTTGAACTCAAAGTGATCCATCTGCCTCTGCTGGGATTAAAGGTGTGTGCCACCATACTCAGCCAAATATTTCTTCATGCTAGGAAGTTTCTTAGTTTTGATTTGTCTTTATAATCTATGCAACTTGACTTTCTCCTCAGAACTGAGCCAAGGACTTCTCAGTTATGACCCTTTATAAACATACTCCCACCATCACAGATAATAAGATAAACTTGGGTAGACAGAAAAAAATTATCTTTTTTTTTTCTGTAGGCAAATGATTGGAATTCAAGTTTTACTGTGATGAACTCTCCTAACATCCTAAAAATACTATTTACTTATTTACTTATTTATTGCATTTCCATATGTTTGAGCACTCAGGTCAGAAAGTGATTTCTGAGAATCACTTCTCTCCTTCCATCAATTGCCTTTGTCCCCAGGATCAAACTCAGGTCACCGGGCAAGCACCTTTACACATGGCGGCATGCTTGCTAGCCCTCAGATTGGAGTTTTAACAATTGTTTTTGTTTTCCAGGGGTATAGGGGTAGGGAATTGGTCATTTAGAACAGTTTCTATCACCTAGTGTCTGGAAACCAGTATGAAAATATGACAATCCAAGTTTAGATACTTAAAATGACTCAGGAACAAAAACCAAAGCCAACAGAGGAATTGACAAGCAAATCCTTCAGATTTTCAGTGTGGACACCTCAGAAAACAAGGTTATTCCCTTGGGTGGCTAACCCCATTGTTCATATGTGCATACATTCATTAGCACACCTTTTTTCCCCCTGTTTATTATTCTCCATGAGTCTTGACTAAATAGCCAAGCTGGATGAAATACAGTATCAGGGGGGCGGAGAGATGGCTCAGAGGTTAAGAGCACTGGCTGCTCTACAATTCCCAGCACCCACATGGCAGCTCACAACTTAACTCTAGTTCCAGGGGACACCACATCCATGGCAAAACACTAATGAAAAATTTAAAAAAATTTTAAATTAAAAAAATACAGTATCAGAGAGAAAATAGCAGAGATGAGTTGTAGGTAATTTCTTTTCTCTTGGCTCCCTTTTGTGTTAAAGCATCAAAATTCAGAGCTATCAACTAAAAGTTGGGAAAGGAGTCTTTAGTAGAAGTACTTTTCCTCCTGAGGGTCCTGACGTGAAATTCGCCATGCTTTTTTGTTTTTCCGAGACAGGGTTTTGTGTAACCCTGGCTGTCCTGAACTAGCGCTATAGATCAGGCTGGCCTTGAACTCACAGAGATCCGCCTGAGTGCTGGGATTAAAGGCGCATGCCACCACCGCCCAGTTTACACAATCATTTGACTGTAAGTTATTACCAAAAACTTGCCTAGGATTATATAGACAGGGTCTCACTCTGGCCGGCCTAGATATGAATCTGCCCTCTAGAGTGCTTTTTTTTTTTTTTTTTTTTTTTGGTTTTTCGAGACAGGGTTTCTCTTTGTAGCTTTGCGCCTTTCCTGGAATTCACTTGGTAGCCCAGGCTGGCCTCGAACTCACAGAGATCCGCCTGGCTCTGCCTCCTGAGTGCTGGGATTAAAGGCGTGCGCCACCACCGCCCGGCAAGTGCTGGGTTTAAAGGCATGGGCCACCATCAAGTTTAAAAAACCCACTTCCCCCACTACTGGGTCATATAAAAGATACTTTCGAAGTTTCTGCAGAATCACATCCTGCAAGAGGTCTAGACGCCTTACTAGAAAGATGATGTTTTATTCAGTAAGGAGTTTAACGCAAGATGCTTAGGGAAGTGGCCTTAGAGAGCTAAAAATCCACGAGCGAACTTGTTGGGAAAGGAAGTGCCGGAGGTGCAATGGCTCCTGCGTGGCTTCCTAGCCGACCCACTGATAACTACTTAACTGGCTCCAGCTTTAAGTCCATTATCTCATTAAACCCTAACCAACCTAGAAAGGGCTCCGTTTCATTTTGACAGGAAGATTATCAGAGAAAAAGACCTTTCTGAGGAGCATTCAATCCTTGGTGAGGGTTAGGACTGAGTCTCAGTCCCGCGGTGTACACCACCGTTAGTGCTCACAGAAAAGCCAGTTACGCTGTGAAAACTGCTCCCAGGCTGATGCTGACCTTAAAAACACGCGTGGAGTCAGTCGGGCAGCGAAATGGCGCAGCAGGCAGGACTTGCCGCCAAGCCGTTCCCACTCACCCCACCCCCGCCGCCCAGAACACAGGGTAGGAGGCAGGCGAGACTACAAACACTTTAATCTCATACATGCTTATAACTTAAAGTCTATGGGATATTCAGTCTTTATCAAACAATCCATAATAACCTCAACTGGAAAGATCCAGTGTGATGAATTAGAGGAGCATTTTAACCGAGTTTCTGAAGACCATCCTGCTCAGCATTGGGTACACAACAGCCTGATGCCAGTGACTGCCCCCACATCATGCGCTAGGCAGATCTAATGATTTCCGGATGCCCCAAGGCAGTGAGGGATTAATTGCAGCTTGAAGTCACAGGAAATGGTAAGGTTAACTTGAGGTCGGCTCAGACTACAGCAACAATATCTAACAGCTAAGTGGAGGAAGAGTGCAGACTTATCTCTCATCACGTACGTGACGCGCCAGGCTCTGCCGCGCCCTGCCCGCCCAAGATTATTTGAAATGCTCGGTATTGCACCAGCCCCGCAGGGAGACAGACAGAGTCACCGCCCCATCTTACCTAAGCAAGAGATCATAGGTATTAGTGGTTACAGCTCTTTCTTGGGAGAGCTGAAGTGGCTCTGAAAAGAGCCTTTGGGGTAAAGTCGATCAATCACGTCTTGGCTGCGCTTTACTTGGAGCTGGTGTACTTGGTGACGGCCTTGGTGCCCTCGGACACGGCGTGCTTGGCCAGCTCCCCGGGCAGCAGCAGGCGCACGGCCGTCTGGATCTCCCGGGACGTGATGGTCGAGCGCTTGTTGTAATGCGCCAGGCGCGACGCCTCGCCTGCGATGCGCTCGAAGATGTCGTTCACGAAGGAGTTCATGATGCCCATGGCCTTGGACGAGATGCCGGTGTCCGGGTGCACTTGCTTCAGGACCTTGTACACGTAGACGGAATAGCTCTCCTTACGGCTGCGCTTGCGCTTCTTGCCGTCCTTCTTCTGTACTTTGGTGACGGCTTTCTTCGAGCCCTTCTTGGGAGCAGGAGCAGATTTCGCCGGATCCGGCATTTTCCTCCGCGTTCAAAGACTCACCGCAAAATGGACGAGGAGAGAACGGAGTGTTGCAGCGCGGCTGGTTATGCGCTACTTATAGAGCTCGTATGCAAATGAAGGCTCACACAGCACTACGTTTTTATTGGCTAATTTACACTGGTGTTAGCGTCAAGTGGGCGGAGCCTACGCAGATAGATTCTGGCTGCGCGCCTTGATGGTGGTGAAAGGAAAATCTCCCTAGCCAATCGCAGGCCTCCCTTTCCTGGTGGCCCGTAAATGAGAGCCGCGGTTCTCCCTTCGCCTGTCCGTCTCCCTTCCACTCATTGGCTGATTCCTAAACACCAGGTTGAAACAAGTTAACTTTTCGTTTTATGGGTCATCCTGCTTGATGGTTGGCTTGAAATTGATTCCCTACGGTCGTGTTTCCACCTGAGAGTCCGTGTCTCCTAGAACTCCTCAGCTTGACACCCAAACGGATGGAAAAAGGTTCAATCCCATTTGTTAGGTCGGACACATTTGGGGATATGCTTGGAATACTGGAAACTAAGCTCAGGTTTGGCCCGACCCTCAGTTCAAAGCTGACACAGCTGCTCTTAATGACAACGTAGGTGGCTCTGAAAAGAGCCTTTTTTTATGTCGACTTTCTAGAAACGCAACTCAGGCCCGCTCCCCGCGGATGCGGCGGGCCAGCTGGATGTCCTTGGGCATGATGGTGACGCGCTTGGCGTGGATGGCGCACAGGTTGGTGTCCTCGAACAGCCCCACCAGGTAGGCCTCGCTCGCCTCCTGCAGCGCCATCACGGCCGAGCTCTGGAAGCGCAGGTCGGTCTTGAAGTCCTGCGCGATCTCGCGCACCAGGCGCTGGAACGGCAGCTTGCGGATCAGCAGCTCGGTCGACTTCTGGTAGCGCCGGATCTCGCGCAGCGCCACGGTGCCGGGCCGGTAGCGGTGCGGCTTCTTCACGCCGCCCGTGGCCGGCGCGCTCTTGCGGGCAGCCTTGGTGGCCAGCTGCTTGCGCGGGGCCTTGCCGCCGGTGGACTTGCGGGCGGTCTGCTTCGTGCGAGCCATGTTTTTGCGGCTTTGGCTGGCGGGCGCCTAGTGGCCATATTTATAGACTTATCTTCGTCTTGATTGGGCCAGGAAAACAGGAGTTTCTGGACTTGGAGTCTGATTGGGTAGAATTCGATCCTATTTGCCGAGTCACGCGATGGTTACACTGCCCCTTCTTCCCGATCCTTTTCCATCTTCCTGTATTTACGGCCCACGGAGCGTTCTGGAAAGATGGTTCTTTCCAGTTGCTTTAACTTTTCTGAAAGCAGTGTGTAGTGTTTCGCACACTGTGTTCGCTAGTGTGTTCCTTCGGAAACAAGCTTGCCTCTTTCCTATACGGCGGTCACCAGTTACTGTAACGTATCCCACAGTCAGCATTTAGTTAGCATCAGGCACGGTGCCCCGCGGTTTGGAAGCTTTTATAACCATAGTTGAAGAATGACAAAGCAATATATAGTGAAAGGGACCAAAATTAAACTTACATTGTATCCACTTCTGAACCCGACCAAAGCTGGACTACATCAGCCACACATTGACCCTTGTTAGGTTTGACTCCCCTGCCTTCCCTCCTGTCTAGTACCCTCCACCTTTTCCCTTCACTAAAGACCAATTAAGTCCTGCAAATGAAATTATATGTCAAAGAAGGATAAGATTAGAAGTATTAATAACCTCCTTTCCCATAGAGAATAGCTGCTAATCAAACACTAATCATTCAGGTGACAGGTTAACAAAACTTTCAAAGCAAACAAGTCGTTTATTGACGACTGAGGTGCTAACATATTTCCTCCCACAAAGAGTAACTGTTTTATTAAATGTCTAATATTTCCCATATTCTTCCCAAGAACAGTAAAGTGTTTTTTTTTTAACCTTTTAGCTATTTGACATGTTTTGGAAAGTGCATGTTATAATGGTTATATGCAGTTCCACTAACTAATATAAAACTTTTAACAGCATGCATGTCTGGTGTTTTTTGGTTTTTGTTTTTTTAGCATTACATAGAACCCTTCTAAACACTCAAACCTAAAAACAAAAAGAGGACCAAGATATTTAAAACTTGCCTGAATGGTGCCAGTATGTATTGTCTTCTTGCTGAAATCCAAGTGAAATGAAATTGAATTTAAGGGGATTCCAAAATACTAAGCACATGTAGAAGTGTGGTAGTTTGATTAATTTCTTTAAGAATCTCAGGGGCAGAAGCAACCTCCAAAATGGGGCACAAAAGTATCGCTGATGTGAACTGTTTACCCCTTCCTGTTGATCATTTTCCAACAATGTTTTGTTTTGTTTTTTTGGTTTTTCGAGACAGGGTTTCTCTGTGTAGCTTTGCGCCTTTCCTGGAACTCACTTGGTAGTCCAGGCTGGCCTCGAACTCACAGAGATCCGCCTGGCTCTGCCTCCCGAGTGCTGGGATTAAAGGCGTGTGCCACCACCGCCCGGTTTATTTTCCAACAATGTTTTAAGCATAGATAGCAACGCTCTGTTTAAAAGTAGTTCTAGGGTCAGTGAGTATAGCTTTGAAGTACAGAAACATTTCCCTATTTTGCATCCAAACCATCCAGAACATCTCAAACTTCTTTGATGAACTTTCCCATCAGAAGGGGAAACTGCCCTGTGGAATCTGGATGGTGCCCACCCAACTGCCATGTTTCGTTGTAAGATTTCCTTTGTAATGTATGTGTGGGTTCATTTAAATCAGAAGGAGATTCTCAAACTCCATACCTTAATGCCCCTTTCTGAGGTGTTTTGTGTTGTTGTTGTTGTTGTTTTTTGAGACAGGGTTTCTCTGTGTAGTTTTGGTGCCTGTCCTGGATCTCGCTCTGTAGACCAGGCTGGCCTTGAACTCACAGAGATCGGCCTGGCTCTGCCTCCTGAGTGCTGGGATTAAAGGGGTGTGCCACCACCGTCCAGCTTTCTGAGGTTTTGATTTCTGCCTTCAGCAGTGTTGAGGTAATATTAAGTGAAAAATTTCAGAATAAAAAAGTCAGGAGTTTTACATTGCGTGCATATCCCTAGTACAGTGATGAAATCTCATACCTTCTTACCCAGGACATAAATCATCCACTCCCATCCAGCACATCCCTACTATGCACAAATTAATCACTTTGTAGCAGCCTCCATCACCATATCATCTGTAAAGGCCTCGAGTGCTTGAGTTCAGGTAACCCTGATCTTGTGCAATAAGGACTCCAAAGTGCAAACTTTTTACTAAAGAATGTGATCAGCATTGTTCTATCTTACTATTGTTGCTTTTGATCTTTTTTTGAGCCTAATTTATAAGTTAAACTTTAATATCATATATACATATACTATAGGGAAGCATAGAGCACCGTATAGGTATATGTAATACACAGCATTATCTATGCTTAGGCATTGGTTGGAGATCTTGGACTGCATTCTCTGAGAGTAAGAGAAAGCTGCTGTATTCAAGTATAGAACCCAAGAGTTGTGGGCTTATTTTACATAATAGTCAATAAGAAAATCCCAAGAGTCTTCCTCTTGTCTAACTTTTAAAATTATGCTTGTAAGTTTTCTATTTTTCAGAAACAGGGATGCCACTGTGAATGTGAATTCTAAGGCAAGAAATTAGACATAAAAAAGGAAACTTTCAAGGTTTATCAGGACCACTTCCTAAAATACAATAATCTGACAGGAGGTGGTGGCCCACACCTTTAATTCCAGCACTCAGGAGGCAGAGGCAGGGAGATCTCTGTGAGTCCCAGGCCAGCCTGGTCTACAGAGTGAGTGAGTTCCGGGACAACCAGAGCTACATAGTGAGGCCCTGTCTCAAAACAAAACAAATTACAAGGGCCTGAAGTTTTAGAGACGGAGAACTGAAATTTTATAATTGGGGCGGGTACAAGAAACTTAAAAATTTCCACGCAGCAAATAAGCAAACACAATTTAAATAAATGATTTATTGGGCATGCGGTATTTTATATGTGCTGGTGTTTGTTTTTAGTACAAAAGTATGGACTAAGCTTTGTGTCTGGGTTCAGGTACCTCCAGAATTATATTAGAACACCGACTGGGACCATTTGGGTTTTTGGTCTGTGAGCTGCTCGGGCTGTATACCCGATTTGCTTTTATTTTGTCTGGTCAGCAACCCAGGACCAAACTAAGAAACCACAGGAGTTTGGGGTTCTTACTCCATTTTGAGATGGACCAGTGCCTCCAGGGTCCTGCTGCTGGATAGGAATCAGCACAGGTCTCCTTCCTTCTGGTCAGTCACAGCTACTGCCTATAGACCACAGCTTAGTATAATATAACGTCATATTTCACTGGAATGTTCTAGAATCTAGTAATATATTACAATATCTCAGAGCTGTATAAAATGTTGTTTAATTCCAGTAGCTATCCTCATGAGACCTGCATAAATGCTAACATGTATATTTTAAGGGCTTTTTTTAATTGAAGGATAATTTTTTTTTGCTTTAACATTCAACTTTAGTTTCTTAGTTGGAATCTTACAAGAAAAGATAGGTCAAAACAATGTTTTCTTCTAAATATGTTGTTGTCTTCTAAATATGGGTATTGAGCATAGACATGGGAATTCTTGAAAGATGAGTAATTCAAAAGGGGTGGTTAGAATTTGGGGTCCATGTAGGGTAAAGGGAAAGGAAGAAGAGACACTTATGGAAAAATCAAGTGACTTTTGGGGAAGATAAATAGCCCTTAGGAGAATAGATGGGGACAGGACAGTCCTGAGAAAATGCCTGCTTAAGAATGGTCTAAGGTTTCATCTCTGAAAAGAGAACATTAGAATTGCCACCTGCCCTGGCCCCCCTTGTGGGGGTAATTTTCAGCAAACGGGATAAAATGCTGACTTCTTTTTCTTTTGCAGGTTCTAATTTGAGACAGAGAAGGGATATCAGGATCTCAACCCTTCATTCAAAATGATTCTCATGTTCAAAGTGAGCGCATACTCTTGAGCCCCTTCAAATAAGAAGATGGTAGACACTGTCTCTGGTACCTAAGGGCCCTGGTACCAAGACCTGGGTACTGTCGGCCTTGGTATGTGGTTTTTTATTTTGCAATTTGATTACCTCATCCTTTGTTTTAAAATTAATGTTTAAAGAGTCAAATGCAGGTCCTGTCCATTCATAAACAATTACTGAGTTTCTGCTGCACTTCGATTTACAAAAAAAAAAAAAAGAATAAACAGAAACCACATCCTATAAGGGCGGTGGTCACCGGTGTGGAGGAGTCGGTGAGATACAGACATGTGAAGTAACACACCTTCCAGGGTTGCTTCGGAAATCAGCAAGTGGGTTCTCATTCTCGGCCAGGAAGCCCCTAGGGTGCTGGTTTGGGCATGTAGGCATGTCCAAGCAGTGACCCACAGTGAGTTCTGTCAGTCAAGAAAGAGACTTGTACAACTGTCTAGGTTTACAGTGTGTGTGTGTGTGTGTGTGTGTGTGTGTCTCACCCCCTAAGAAACACACATTTCACAACCCTTAGGTTTAAAACACTTGAGTTTTGAAATTTTTGTTTTGTTTTGTTTTTGCTTAGCTTTGAGCCTAACACGACTAAAAACCTCCCACATCTACCTACAAGCCCTGAGCCAGAAAATCTGGATTGGGGTGGGGTGGGGGTCGGGAATCAAGGATTCATCAGTACGTATAAAACAAGGCATATAATAGGATGAATTTTTAAAAGATAAACTTTTTTTTTTTTTTTTTGATCAGAAAACAAAACAACCCACCACAATTATGATGCAGAAAGAATGTTTTCTCATGGTTCTTCGATGGAGGGCCCTGGGAACGACGAACATGCTAGCAGTCCAGACTCCAGTTCATTTCCCAGGGCACTGTGCGAAGCAGATACACTTGCAAAACCGAATATAGCCGGTTGCATGCGGGCCCAGTTTGGGAACCATTTCCCTAGCTGAAAACACCGGCAGACCTCCAAGGACTGGTCGAAACCAGTGTGGCAGCTCTCCCAGGCTCTGCTTGGGTAGAGGTGCGTGGGGACCCACTGACCCGGCGAGAAAGCTCCCCAACATCCTCAGACGAATTTTCCTAGGATCTAGTTTCTGCTTGGGCTGAAAACTGTCTATATCAACAAAACAGCGACTATACTCAGAACCGCCCGCGAACTTCCCCTTCCACACATAATCCTGGGTCCGCTGCTTTCGATTATGGTACCCTCGCTACTGGAACCTCTTTTGCAAAGGTTTTTATCTTACTGTAGCTCGGGGCCTTCGATGCAGCGCTCTCCCCTTCTCATCTCTGAATTCCCTTTCTCTTTCTCCAGTCTTTTGTCCTTTTAGCATACGTGCGGTCCAGAAGCCCACAGACTGGAAGAAACAGAGCCATAAAGACTGCGGTGTCTCTGAGTTTTATTTAGGGGCCTGGATTCTCCCAGGGACTACGGCATCACGATTTAAGAAAATTAAAAAGAAAAATAAGAAAGGCAAGGGGCTATGAGGGACCGGTAGAGGGCAGAGAAGAGAGAAGAAAAACAAGAAAATGACGCAACATCCAGAGCCGGGAGGATTTAGAAAGGTTCCCGCCCGCGCGCTTTCGGTTTTCACTCTGGTCCGATCCTCTCATATATCAGAGGGAAGCCACGTTCAGTGTTTCACAGGCTGGTATTTCCGACTGCATCTACCATGTCTGGGAGAGGAAAGGGTGGGAAGGGCTTAGGCAAGGGGGGTGCCAAGCGCCACCGCAAGGTTCTGCGCGACAACATCCAGGGCATCACCAAGCCCGCCATCCGCCGCCTGGCCCGGCGCGGTGGTGTCAAGCGCATCTCCGGCCTCATCTACGAGGAGACCCGCGGGGTGCTGAAGGTGTTCCTGGAGAACGTGATCCGGGACGCCGTCACCTACACCGAGCACGCCAAGCGCAAGACCGTCACCGCCATGGACGTGGTCTACGCGCTCAAGCGCCAGGGGCGCACCCTGTACGGCTTCGGAGGCTAGGCCCCCCGCCACTCCTTCATCCCCCATCCCTAACGGCCCTTTTTAGGGCCAACCACAGGCTCATCAGGAGAGCTGGCACTCTTGACTGCTGGGTCTGAACCAAATTACAGTCGATCTAGGTTCGGTATGGTGAAGGCGCATCCTCAAAATGGAGTCGCCCAGTTTGTTGGAAGCCGCGCTACCGGGCGTCCGTTTAGTGCCCTCCATTAAGGTTAATTTCCTGGGTTAACATCCTGGGCAGAGTCTGCTCACAGGCAACTATTAGTTTCCAGTAACGGTGTGCGCTGGTTATTTTTAGCGCTTTGTGGCCAGGACCGCCGTAGGCTGGCTCCTCAGTCTAGGCAATGACGTAGGAAATACTGGCCTGGAATTGCGGCTTTGCAAGTATACAATTGCAACGACACTTTCATGTCTTGTAACAAGCAAACCACCTGTGATGGTTATAATCCCAGCAGCTGGGGAGGAAGCAAAAGCATTAGGGGTCCAAGGCCCACTTGTATAAGGATATTTCTGGTTTTTTTTTTTTTTTTTGAAAGCAGTTATGGCAGGAACTTAGAGTCACGAGCTGATACAGAGGCCAGTGGAGGAGCGGTGCTAACTGGCTTGTTCCTAGGCTTGCTCAGCCTGCTTTTTTTTCTTTTCTTTTCTTTTCTTTTTTTTTTTTTTTAAGACAGCGTTTCTCTGATTCCTTGGCAGTCCTGGTAGACCAGGCTGGCCTTGGATTCACACATCCGCCCGCCTCTGCCTCCTGAGTGCTGGGATTAAAGGCGTGTGCCGCCACTGCAGGTTTTGTACAAGGATTTGAGGCAAGTCTGAACCACCATACCCTGTCACCAAGAAAACCATGAACAAGAAGTTGAGGTAAACTATAATATAACTTAGTGGAAGCCATTCAGATATGTGGTATGTTGGGGCCTGTCTAGAAAGAGACTTGCCAATTATGCCCACCACCCGTCAGTACAGAAGGTGCAGTTTAATTTTGGTAAGGCAAAAGCAAATTCTCCGCCTGGCCAAGAATAGAGTAAGCCATTCTCTCTGGTTCACTCTCCCCACCGCTCAGATTTGGGTTGGACATGTGGGTTGTGGGTTTTTAGTTTTATTGCTCATTAATTCGTTTACTTCGAAATATTGTGCGATCTCCACATTCAGTTACATGATCCTATGTAAGGATTCAACTTCCAATTCAAGAAGCTGGATTTTAGTGTACACCAACCACATCAGGTACACTGTAAGGATCATCTTAGCAACATGTTTGTCTTGATCCACCTGTAATTGTCATATTTAAAGAAAATACATTTTTTGGTAGTTATATAGGTAGCACATACTGAATAAGATGGGGAATGTAGATAATTTTCAGAATCACAAAACTAGGGAAATCACTTTGTTTTGGGAAACTGGCCAAGCTCTGCAGTAGGGATGGAGCTTATGCTAGTCTTTGGCAAATCTGGAATGCCTTCCATCCTAATTAGGTATTTAGTAAATCTGAGGGCTGGGGGAGATAGCAAGATTAGCATTTGTGACCATTTGGGCCGAGGAAGAAACGGCTTTCCTTTAAACCTGGATCACAATTTACAACTCTAGTTCAAATAATGCTGTGAGTCCCCCCAGATGAAGACATCTGATTCTCACCCAAAAGCTCTGAAACGCTGGGTTACAAAGGTTTAAAGAGAGACCTAACTCAGCAAATAAAGGAAGCAGGAAACATTCCTCGGTTGAAGTCCGTGGTTCTGAAAGAGATTTCCAGTCCATCAGCATGGCTCACCTGAGCCTCACTGCAGACCAACTGAACTGGAAACCTTGGGTGTTTGGCCCAGCAATTGGTGGTTAAGGCCAAGTTCTCCAGATGGTTCTGACGCACATTTAACAACCCTGGACCCAGGTGACAGATGTTTTGGTTGTTGTGGTGATGGTGCTGGGCATCACATGAAGGGCATTCTACACCCTGGGAGTTGTTTATCACTAAATTAAAACCCCCTCCCTAGTTTTCCTTTAAAGGAAGTAGTGGCAAGCTGCTTGCCATAATGTTATATCTTGGCTTATGGAAAAGAAAGCAGATCTGCAATCCATTGTTAAGTAAAAAATATAGGTGGAAAGAGACACAGTTGCTTTACTCCTCAAGCAAGCATATAGGCTGTAGAAATGAAAAGGGAACAGGCTTGTTTTATTAAATATTACTGCTTGGTGCTTTTAATAGTACAGGATTGAATTTTATAATCAATGGGTATGACTTTTTTTCTTCCTAAACATTTCCAAGATCCAAGCTTTACACTATTATTTATCTCCTTTGCTTTTTGAGAGAGGTTCTCCCTATACAAAACTGGCTGTCCTGAACTATGTGTAGACCAGGCTGGCCTTGAACTCTGCCACTGACTCGAGTGCTGTGGTTAAAGGCAGTGCGCCGCCACCACCACCACGCCCAGCTCGTAACACTATTATACATCTTTTTACAGAGACTGTTATTTTTAAATTGATTTTTATTTTGTTTGCCTAGGTGTTTTGCCTGCATGTATGTGTGAGGGTGTCAGATCTTGGAGTTACAGATACTGTTAGCTACCATGTGGATGCTGGGAATTGAACCCGGGTCCTCTGGAAGAGCAGCCAGCGATCCTAACTGATGATCCATCTCTCCAGCACCTGAGATTCTTTTAGATGACCTTAACAATGAGTTTGCTCACATCTGTCAGTCTCACTAATATGCTAAAACATGGCTGAACCGTGTTAGCTATGTCGAGTCTGTGAAGGACAAATTATAGAATATTCAGCTAGGCATCCCTTTGCACTAATAAATTCCTTTTTTTTCCTTTACCATCTCAGCCACCTGTAACAGGAAGGACCATAAAACCCAGTCAACTCATCATAACAGTGAAGAGTGTAAGATGCAATCAGACATTTTCTTTGGTTTGCTAGCAAAATAGTTTCCATTTCCAAGCCTGAATGCTGTCCACGAGGCAGACCCTAACTTCTCATTTTCATCACTAGAGTAGATGTGGAACATCCCCCAGAGATAAGTGCAGAGGATCACAGATCTACCCTAAGGTTCTGCTTCCGCTGTAGTTACACTCGAGTGCCTACTAATCCTGTTTGCCTGAAAACCACTCTCTGGGCTCTCTCCTCGGCCTCACTGCAGCGTCCTCACAGACACCCAGGCTAGCCACTGTCCTCATTCTGTCTCGTCCTTTAAACCCTCCACTCTGTTTATCCATTAATACATATGTTATTTCTCTACCCGAGTCAAAAGATGAGCTGACGTTTATACAGACTTCGACTAGTCGTATACATTTGTATGGATATACAGAGAAGTATTAGGAATAGTCATAACAATGGTTTATTATAGGTGTTAGTTTTCTTCCTTGAATGTTTCCGAATTGTTTGAATTTCTTACAACACTCATGAATGTATTTCTTCACAAGATAATAAGATGCTTGATAGTCTGATGACAGCAGCCGTGGGAATACCATTTTTGTCCGAGTTAAACCTCCTCATCTTTAGTGTTGCTGAAACTGCCTACTTTTCCATTAGGAATACTTTAAAGAGCGAATAACAAGATCTACGCAAAGCCAAGATTGAGGCCATGAAGTGCACAGAACCAAACATGATGCTTATTGCCCATTCATCTTCCCTTTGGTTTCAGGGAAAACATCTTCTCTTATTTCCTGTCACCGGACACTCAGGCGGCACAGATGGCCCCGATCCTAGAGCTTTCGCTCATGTCCTTGAGCAGCTCTGCCCCAGCATGGCTGGAAGTTCATCTGCAGCTCTTCTTCCAGGCCCTGAAGCCATCGAAGGCCATAGGTTCAGTCAGTTTGGATTAGTTTTTACCTCAACAGCACTGTGCTGCCTCGTTTTATTATTTATTTATTTATTTATTTATTTATTTATTTATTTATTTATTTGTTTTTTCGAGACAGGGTTTCTCTGTGTAGCTTTGCGCCTTTTCCTGGAACTCACTTGGTAGCCCAGGCTGGCCTCGAACTCACAGAGATCGGCCTGGCTCTGCCTCCTGAGTGCTGGGATTAAAGGCGTGCGCCACCACCGCCCGGCCGCCTCGTTTTATTTTAACTTAACACAAGTCATCTGAGAAGAAGGAACCTCAGTGGAGAAAATGCCTCCATAAGATGGGACTGTAGGCCAGCCTGTAGGGCATTTCTTAATTAGTGATTGATAGGGAGGGCCCACTCATTATGGGTGGTGCCACCCCTGGGTTCTATAGAAAGCTGGTTGAGCTGGGCAGTGGTGGAGCACGCCTTTAATCCCAGCACTCGGGAGGCAGATGCAGTCGGATCTCTGTGAGTTCAAGGCCAGCCTGGGCTATAGAGTGAGTTCCAGTACAACCAGGGCTGTTACACAGAGAAACCCTGTCTCAAAACAAAACAAAACAAAAAACCAACCAACCAAAAAACAAAAAAGTTACTGTAGCTGAAAAGATGGCTCAGCAGTTAAGAGCACTGGCTGCTCTTGCAGAGGACCCTGATTCAGTTCCCAGCACCCACATGGTGTCTATAATGTCAATTCCAGGGCATCCATCAGCCTCTTTTGGCCTCCTCAGGCACCAAGAAGACTCCTGGTACACACACACACACACACACACATTTGTGGGCAAAACACTCATACATATAAACTAAATAAATCTAAATTTTAAATATTTAAATGAATTTTTAACTTAGTGGCAGGGAGAGAAACCGTCCTGCGTACCTAAGCTGCTTAGACCAGGGCTGTTGAGGGTGTCAATTAAGGCAAGGGTCCCGGACAGATGAATAGAGTGATACAATTAAAAACATTTGATGCCGGGCGGTGGTGGCGCACGCCTTTAATCCCAGCACTCGGGAGGCAGAGCCAGGCGGATCTCTGTGAGTTCGAGGTCAGCCTGGGCTACCAAGTGAGTCCCAGGAAAGGCGCAAAGCTACACAGAGAAACCCTGTCTCGAAAAACCAAAAAAAAAAAAAAAAAAACATTTGAAAGTATTTAGTGACTTGCAAGTTTGGGGCAAAGGACAAGAAGCAGCTTCTAATAGATGAGAGGGATCTACCAGTCAAGTGGGATATCTAAAAAGGAACAGATAGGTTTGGGAAGCAATATGGCATATAATGATTTAGAAACAAAATGAACTCAATGTATCCCTCTCTGAAGGAAGGACTTAGAAATACTGCTGTGTGCAGCTCTCAATGTGGGACTTGGATGACAAGGATGACGAAGGTAGAGGACCCAAGGGAGAGCTCTGTTTGTAGTGGTCAGCCTTTTACTATATAGTTTGCCTCTCTACACCTTGTATGCCATCATCCTAATTAAATCTGAACCAAATATGTCACACCTGAAAGGAGATAATGGCTTAGATTAAAAAATTCAAATGGCAGAACATTGAGTTCAGTCTCATAATGATACACGTGATCTCCCAAGCAACAAAACCTTGCAAGAGGACTGCAAAAGCCTAATTGTTCCAAGTGCACAAAAATGTGATGTTACTCTATTGTTACCTGTATACTAGTAATATTCTCACTTGAGACTTGAGGAAACCCTGCATGTTAGCGGTGCAGAGTACACCAACTTCTAGAGGGCAAGATAGGCTAGCCCTGTGGATTAGCCCGTCTGACACTTGGCCGCATAGGTCTGTGTTCACTCGTCACTCTTACCAGTGAGAAGGCCCTATCATTCCCTAGGTAATTGGCAACTCGTTAAGTTTATAATCAAAGGACCTACAGGAAAGGCCAAGAGCATGATGTTAGTGACAGGTGGAGAAGAGGCTCTAAGTAGGAATTGGGTAACCAGGTAAGATATAGAATACCAGGTGCTCTGCAAACCTTCCTGGGAGAAAACTCCATAGGTGCAGCACCTGGAGAAACCGAAACAGCGCTCTTCGCTGCTCGGCCATCACCCCAAAACCGAACCCTTCCCGAGACCGTGAAAGACCACGCAAGGACAGAGAAGCAAACAGCTCCTTCCGGGCACATGTGGTGGCTCTGAAAAGAGCCTTTGGTGGGATGGAACCGAGATCGAGAGCTCAGGCCCGCTCCCCGCGAATGCGGCGGGCCAGCTGGATGTCCTTGGGCATGATGGTGACGCGCTTGGCGTGGATGGCGCACAGGTTGGTGTCCTCGAACAGCCCCACCAGGTAGGCCTCGCTCGCCTCCTGCAGCGCCATCACGGCCGAGCTCTGGAAGCGCAGGTCGGTCTTGAAGTCCTGCGCGATCTCGCGCACCAGGCGCTGGAACGGCAGCTTGCGGATCAGCAGCTCGGTCGACTTCTGGTAGCGCCGGATCTCGCGCAGCGCCACGGTGCCGGGCCGGTAGCGGTGCGGCTTCTTCACGCCGCCCGTGGCCGGCGCGCTCTTGCGGGCAGCCTTGGTGGCCAGCTGCTTGCGCGGGGCCTTGCCGCCGGTGGACTTGCGGGCGGTCTGCTTCGTGCGAGCCATGGCAGAGACAAGAGACACCGAGACCAGGAGCGCGGGGACCTGCCCGGGTCCCCGGCCGCCGGTCTTTATAGGCGCACTCTTCCCGGGGGCGGGGCGGAGACAGCCACTTGAACGTCCCGCGCTGACGGGCCATTGGCCGTGACGCCACGACCTCGATCCCGCCCATTGGCTCGGGCCTGCCCCGCCCCCCGGTGCCCCGCCCGCCCCTCGTCCAGCCCTGCGGCGAGCGGACTTGACAACGTTCCCCGCGGGTGGGGCCGCCTCTCGTGGCCGCCGGTAGACGGCCGCTCCCAGCTCTGCCAGGGAGAATCGCGCCCGCCCGCCCGTCCAAGTCACAGAGTTAGTGTTCAGTGCCGCCCAGGGCCCCACGATCCCGGGAGCTGGCCGCGGCCGTCATTGCGGCCGGGACACGTCCCCTTCTCCTAGACTTTGCCGAAGGAGCGGGCGGGAGCGGCGGCTGGTTGGGACTGACGTCTGGCCTCGACGGCCTGGGCTCGGGTTCCTGTTTTAAGGGAGGGGCGGGAAGCTGTCAGGACTGTAGGTGGGGAGCCAGCGCGCTGGTCGCTGCGGGCGGGACACCTACCGGGGTGTGCATCGGGCTGACATACGGCGCTGAGTGCTTAGGACAGTAACACGCCCGCTCCCGCACAGGAGAACCAAGACCGAACGCAGAATACCCGGGGGCCCGCGGACAAGAGTGGGGAGGGCGCTGGGGACGCGCGAGGCGAGTGGCAACGCCACAGCCGACACCTTGGGCACGGGCCGGGCAAGGCCACCAGACCGGTTCCGTGAGTGACACAACTCTTTAATCTGAACCAGTGGGTGGCTCTGAAAAGAGCCTTTGAGTTCGCGGGCGTCTCCCCGAGACGCGGGCCGGCGCCAGCAGCGGCCTCACTTGCCCTTCGCCTTATGGTGGCTCTCGGTCTTCTTGGGCAGCAGCACGGCCTGGATGTTGGGCAGGACGCCGCCTTGCGCGATCGTCACTTTGCCCAGCAGCTTGTTGAGCTCCTCGTCGTTGCGGATGGCCAGCTGCAGGTGGCGCGGGATGATGCGCGTCTTCTTGTTGTCGCGGGCCGCGTTGCCCGCCAGCTCCAGGATCTCGGCCGTCAGGTACTCCAGCACGGCCGCCATATACACGGGCGCGCCGGCGCCCACGCGCTCCGCGTAGTTGCCCTTGCGCAGCAGCCGGTGCACGCGCCCCACCGGGAACTGCAGGCCGGCGCGGGACGACCGCGACTTGGCCTTGGCGCGGGCCTTGCCGCCTTGCTTGCCGCGACCAGACATGATGGAAAACACAGAAACTCTCACAAACAGGAAACTGCACGCCGGCGCCGCCGCCTCGCCCTTTTATAGGCAGAGCCCCGCTTGTCCGCCCGACGCTCTCATTGGCTCACGCGCGTCCTCACACCCCGGCCTATAGGAGCGTGCACACACAATCCGCTCATTTACATAAGCCCGGCTCCCTCGCCCGAGCGCCGCCGCCAACGCGCGAATCACGACGCGCGTGGCCGGAGCCCTCATTTGCGTGCGGCCGTTGGAAGGAGGGCCCGGGGCCTCGGCGGCGCACCGGCCTGCCGCCTCTGCCGGGGCGGAAGGAGCCGAGTGCGCCCCGCCTCCAGCAGGGCCGGCGGCGAGCGCGGGCGCAGCGGTGGCTCGGGGAGGTGTGCCGGGTGTGGGTGAGGCGGGTGTGCCCCGGCGCGGGCGTCCCGTCCCAGGCCGGGCGTCTGTGTGCGCGCCCCCGGCCAGGCGGTCCTGCGCCTGCTGCTCTGCTGCCCGGGCAGCTGCCCGGCTCACCAAGTGTTTTGATTTGTGTACTGTTTCTTTTCGTGGTAGTTTGGCCTGTTCTGGGATGTAGGTCAGGGTTAGTGTGCTTTAGTGTGCACGAGGGTCTGTCCTCACCACCATGCAAGGAAGTTAACCAGATGTAACCACACAAATATTCCCCGCACCGTCACCTTCCTTGCAGTGTCTGTAACAGGCTCTGCCGTTCTCTAGTAGAGTCAGCCGAATCTTCTGTCTACCCAGCCAGCTGTTACATTGTTTCCTTGGCTCCTGTCGCATTGCTGCTCTGATGGTGTTGGCTGCACTTTTCCTCCCACAGAGTCCCTGCAGATTGGGTTCAGGCCACCTTGGTTATTTGTGCTCCAAGTAAGCACATGTTTCTAAAAATTCAACAGAGAGAGATACACTTGAACCAGACTTGTATAATTAACTCCCAGGGGACTTCCTAAACAAGCGTGACGACCCAAGGGCATAGAAGTAGTGTATAGGGGGCTGTTTGACTTCAGCACTGAGACACTTCAGGAACCTAGTCCCTAAAGAAGCAGGCACTTGTGCTTTTCAAAAAATAAAAAGACCTCTTGTGGCCACAGGGTAACGGAAAGCCTGGCATCTCTGCCTTTGTGTCTGTCTTCCTTTCTTTTGCTGAAGGCACAAAGGTAAGTCATTGTCCTCCCTTTCTCTTCCATGGTAGCAGATGAGGGTGATTATCCATGGAGCTGAAATGATCATTTTGTGTGAGAGTGGTGTCCTCACAAGACAGCAGTATGGACTTCCCACCTTGCAGGGTCAGAACTGTAGCAATGATCAAAGAGATTGCACATCCACCAGGACTGCTTAAGTATGCTAACCTCCTCTGCTTAAGGGCAAAGCTCACCTCAGTATCCTGAAGATGGACTTGGGGTGTCACTGGACCTGCGTTTGTCCCCTTTACAATGGAGCCACCTTGACTGTGTCTCTATTTTGATTTTCTCTTGAATGTGGATGAGTGATTGCACCTAGCCAGGGTTTCTAGAGCCTAGGCCTCTACCATAAAACCTTTGGTTACTGTAAGAAGGAGTCCATCTGCTAACTCGTTTGTTTGGTTGCATATTCTAAGGACACTGGCATAGGTTTATGACCTTTGGCTTTGTGTGTAATAAGGCTGAAGTGAAAGGTTATACTGACAATACTGATTGTTGCCCTATTGAGTGAAGGAACAAACATTGGAAATAAGTTGATAACTATATTGAGGAAAATAACTTGGAATGGGGGAAATGCATTTTTGTTGGAGATCTTGGAAAGATTGTGAAGCAGTCAGTGGCAGAATGTGGTGGCTCAGGTGGCCATTTACACAGTGAACTGTGACAGCCCTAGATGTACTTAAGTCTTCGCTTTGAAACTGGATTTGCTTATTTTAGCAAATACAAAATGGCTTCAGGGCAAGAGTGTATTCCCAGGAAACAGTCATGTAAGACCTTGTAGATGAAATATTTAGCAAAAGATGTATATGACAGGCAGCAATGAAACTGTACACATCACCCAAGTGCTAAGGGCTTGCAGACAACACACAACACAAGATTGGCAGTGGGAACATGAAAACTAGTCCCACACCGAGGAACCACAGGGATCTTCTGGAATGTGCTGAGGAACTTGACGCCCACATAACTGTGGCTAAGTTTCACGTTTTAAGTGATTGCTCAGAGCCTCATGTGCGTGCACCTTTCTGCTCTGTCCGTGTTTAACATGGCAGTGGACGCTGGCTTCATGATAAGCGTGTCAGACATTGGTGGCGGCTGCACAGAAACCAACTTTCAACCAAAAGGCTAATCACGTTATCAGTCCTCCATGGGACATCTTTCTTGAAGTCTCTTTTGAATAGCCATCTCCCCCAAATGGAAACATTTTCTAACATTTTCTCATGCAAAGCATGGAGGCTTAGAAGACCCAGGAAACAAAATTGACAAGCCCAGAAAACAGATAAAACAAAAGTCACAAGACCCCTCCCCAGAGTTTTAGAGAGAGGTGATGTGATCAATCGGGGATGGACAGGTAAACTTCGGGAAATTTTGGGAGCTTCAAGGATGCATTTTCAAGAGTTCTCTCTTGTACCTGAGTAGGCTTCTTAGTGGTACACTGCCTTCGATTCACCATGCTCCTCTACACTTCACCCATAGGTAACTCATAGGTAACCCTAATAAAACTCATTGGCTCCCTAAGCTAGTCCTGGCTGAAACTGTTTCTTTGGTGGAGATGCCTTATCTGGGGTGAATAGAGACGTTCACATTATACAGGGTAAGGGCTTCTTGTGCACACGGGTAAGCGAGGGAAAGCAGGAAGTTAAACTCCCACGCTTAGCTCTGCAGAGGAAGGAGATGCTTACCCGTCTCCCACCATGACCGCTGGGAAAGGATGTGGTTTATAACCTGGTGACCTTTGCTATGTGTAGGGCCAGGCTTCACCTCACTCCCCCAGAATATTGTTTATCTCAGACTCACCCCCCTACCTCCACTAAATCTTGAACCTTGCTTTTCAGTCCATAAAACCCACCCTTATGAGAGATGTCACTTGTACCTTACAAGAGCCTAAGTGACTTCTATGCTGTGGTAGGGACAGCCCAATCCTGACTCCCACGGGCATTATGTTTACCTCAGACATTCTCCCGAGACCCTTACCTTGTTTCTGGGTCAACAGTACCCATCTTTATGGAAGAAGGCCTCTGTACTTTATAAACAGTTTCTACGTAAACATGTCTTAAGCTTTGTTGTACTCACAGGACTGAGCTAATTGTCATCAGGAAACCTTTTTCAAAATTGTGCTGTTTAAATATGGCTAAAATAAACCACCAGGTGTCGCAGACTCCAGAAGTTTGGCCCAGCCCTGGCTAAGTTGGGCTGAAAAGAATTTCATTCTTGCCTCACCCATGGTTTCCCTACCAGCCAGGACACTTGCAGGGTCCTCCACACACTTATCTCTACGGAAGATCAAAAATCACGAAATGCTCTGGTATTAAGATGATTTCAGAACCTCAACCTACTTGTGTCTTTTGTATTCATACTTGAACTTGATGTTGTTGAAAATAAACTCTGGAGTGGAAGCTGAGGAGTATGGATGACGGTGTTTATGGATTTCTTAGGTAATCTCAGCCCTGGTGTGAGGCCAGGAGTGGACCACAGACCGCTGGGGCCTGTTGCCTAGCAAGTGTGCTATTTTGTGCTCTAACAAATAAGGCTTGCCTGAAGATCAGAAGGTGGAGCTAGCCACTAGTTAACCACAGAAGTCTGGAAACAGGAAGTGATATGGCTGGACAGAGAGAGGAATAGAAGGTGGGCAGAGACGGGAGCTCAGCCCTTTTCGGTCTGAGGAGTCTTTGGTAAGAGGCGACTGTGGCTAATTCCTTTACTTCTCTGATCTTTCAGCATTTACCCAATCTCTGACTCTGGGTTTTTATTATTAAGACCAATTAGAATTCTCGATACAAGCAAATCTAACTGAAACTAAGCTCCTGAGTCAGTGAGAGACCCTGCCTCAAAGGAAAAAACAAAGAGATGCAGAGGAATGGAGATAGACAACTAAAGTTAACCTCTTGCTGTGTGGAGAGCACACATCCACAGTTAAGTCGTATAAAATGTCTTTCACCCATATGTCAAACGTCAGTGAAGTCAGCAGGACTAAATTAGCTATGTTGAGCATATTCAGAATGTGTAAATGTGTGCTGTGAACTGTAGCTTAGTAAATGTAACATTGCATCCTTGTGTACTTGACCTAATATATGACTCCTATATTACTGCAATTAAATTTTTTGTGTTTCAAGACAGGGTTTCTCTGTGTTGTTTTGGCTGCCATAAATTTTTGTGTAGGTTTTCCCATTTTTGCTCCCCCCCCCCACCCCCCACCCCCGCCAGGCTGAAACTCTTGGAAGAGAGCTAGCTAGCAAAGGTAGTTTTGAAACAGATGTTGTTGATGGCTATTCTTGGTTGTCAACTTGACTACATCTGGAGTTAGCTAAAACCCAAGGGGCTGGATACACCTGTGAAGTGTTTTCTTAATTAAATCATTTGAAGTGGGAAGACCTTAAATCAGGGCCACACCTTCGTGTGGCAGCCCACATGAAGGACACGGAGAAGGAAGCTTGTCCCTCGATGGCCAGGTCATTCCGTCACCGGCATTAAAGTCTACTTCTTCAGGATTCTGGGGCGGTGCATGCATGGGTGCTACTATCCTACACCTTAACTACCTCTGACCAGGACTTTGGTGATTTAGGGCTTAATCAGAAATTAATCCAGGATAATCTCTGAATCTTAGAAGCTAATAGGCAAATCCTTTACCCCACTTAAGAAAATATTGATAGGTTCTTAAACAGAGCCCAACTACTGATATGTTTGAACTGTATCTACACAAAAGACTGAAGTCTAACCCATGGTGCTTTAGTATTCTGCCTTATTTGAAAGTTGTGATATTTTATTTGTGCTTTACTAAATAACGCTTGCCTGGAGATCAGAGGAAAAACCAAGTCATTGTAAGTAAACACAAAAGTCATGCAATGTTAGCACATGCTTTTAATTCTATCACTTGACAGGCGGGGATCTGTCTGAATCTGTGAGTTCAAGGCCACACTGGAAACAGAGCCAGGTGTGGTGGCACATGCCTTAAATCCCAGCACTAGTTAACCATGACAGAGCTGGGCAGGAAGAGGAAGTGATGGAGCTGGACAGAGAGTAAATCAGATGGCAGAACAGCAAGGCATATAGGCATGGGTAGACAGGAAGTCGCTCGCATTTGGAAGCTGTGGAGTTGGTGAGGTGAGGTTAGCTTGTGGCTGTTCCTATTCCTCTGATCTCTCTCAGGCTTTAACCCCTTTATCTGGCTCTGTGTATTTTATTTAATAAGACCGTTTAGAAATTTGTCTATGGAAAGTGTTTGAGGCAGATGTAATCAAGTGTCACTAATTACAGAATTCCATCCAGTGTAATTACTAGCTTCCTAAGAAGACAGAAACAAGGAGTTAAAAGGGACAGTGGCTGGTGAGTAAGATCCAAGTACATTACATGCCTGCATGAAACCGTCAAAGAATACAATTTAAAGCTTGTCAGGGAGAACGCTGAGGCAGATTGGCGCTATGCTATCACAAACCAAACCATCCCGCTTCCAGATGCAGAGAGGTAAGGAAGCATCCTTAGAGAAGGGCACCCACTGTCCGGTCACACCTTCATTTCAGACTCTAGCCTGTATGACTAAGAGAGAACAATGTGGTAGCTTACTATGGCAGACTTGGACTATAACTGCTAGAAATTCTAATTATTGAAATTTATAAATAAAATTTTAGATTAAATAAATTTCAAACTGCTGGGGTGGTGGCACACACATTTAATCCCAGCGCTTGGGAGGCAGTGCCAGGTGGATCTCTGTGAGTTCAAGGCCAGCCTGGTCTACAGAGCTAGTTCCAGGACAGGCTCCAAAGCTACACAGAGAAACCCTGTCTCAAAAAAAAAACAACAAAAAAAAAGAATTTCAAACTTTTCTACGGTGGTAATATTAAACTTTGGTCCTGATCAAATGCTGAGTTTTAACATTTGCAGTTTTAACATTTGTCCCAAATGTGTATTTGGAAGCCTCTATTTTTCCTTATCAACCTATTTGACTTGAATAACCACCAGTGAATATAAAGTTGAGGGCTGGCGAGTTGGCTCATGGGGTTAACAGCACTTGCTGCTCTTGCAGGGATCTGGGTCCTTCAGGCCCCAGTGCTGCACAGTGGCTGGAGACCATCTGTCACTCCAGCCCCAGAGATCCAATGCACGCTTCTGGTCTCTGGAGGCACCAGGCATGCATGTGACGCACATACAGTAAACACTCACACGTGTACAAAATAATAAATACAAAGATTCACACTTCTTTTATTTCAGAAAATTGTTATTGACATCTTCCAAGGTTCAAGCTAAGCAAGAATATGTCAGACAAGCTGGCTTAACTATGAGTTTAAAGTTAACACAAGACCCCAAAGTTGGCTGTCCCTCACAACTGCCAACTTGATGAGATCTGGAACAAGCTGAGAGATGAGCCTCTAGCCACGCACCTAGGGAATGATTTAGATTTTGATAACTGACCTACTGTGGAGAGCACCATTCCCTAGGCAGGGGACCTTTGTACAAAACAGAAGAAATCGAGCACTGGCATGCATGGATCCACTGTTCTGCTCTTTACTGTGGGTGTCATGTGACCAGGTCTCTAGGACCCTGCTGCTGTGACTTCCCTGCCCTGATGGACTGTGAGCCAAATAACTCGTTTCATTCATCAGAATATTCTATCACAGCAACAAAAGAAACGGGCAACTCTCCTGCCTATCATCTTTTTTGACTTCACAATTTCATCTTATCGATATCAAAAAAGCTTACCCCAAAGAACATTCTACTCTGTCCCATTTTGAAATAGTAAGATTGATACAGATGCCTGAAGGGAGCCAGGACAATTTTTAAAACAATCAGGTCAACGCTAAGGACTGTGTGTACAGTGTGTGCATGGCTGGGGTGGTGGTGGGGTGGGGTTGGGTGGGAGGGGTAGGAGGGGGTTGTTTGCTTCCTGAGACAAGCAGAACTAATACTGTGTTCAGTCAGTTCATAAATGCAGTGTTGTATGGTCTTTACTGAACCCTAGATTCATCTCTCAATTTCTCAAATGTGACTTCCCATATCTACTTGAATATCAATTTCTCAAACTTAATGAGAATGCTTGATAGACATTCAACTTCTCAGCTTACAATGCTTCTCTGCATTCCATCCTAATAACACTGTCTGCCCAGATAGTTGTTCAAGTCAAAAACCTGGGGCCTCACTCCTGCCTTTCTCCACAAGACTTACAATTCTACCTCCACCCCAGTATTTCTATGTTCCTAGGACTATGCTCCAATTTAACATGTCTAATCTGCCCGTGGTTCTCACTGCCACAGAACCCACAAAGCTTATTAACACAAATTACACAGAATAGAAAATGCTGGCTGTGACACCTCTCTAGGTATTGCTGATGCGATGTTAAAATAATGGCAGGCCAGACAGAGATGGCACGTCACCAGTCACTCTAGCCCTACACAGTGGAAGGCTCATAAACGGCGCTTGAGCAGCCATAGGGCAAATGACTGACAAAAACACCAGCATAATCTTCAACATTACTTCGATTCAGTAAACGCACGCCAAACCCTATACGGTCTTCCTTTCCAAGCACGCCCAATTCTTTTCAAGCATTTTGTTGCCATTGTATGGAGATAAACCTTTAATGTAAAAAATCTAAAGGGAGGCTCCTAGCAGTGAAAGACTAAGCGTGTTAACAGGTAGGTTTTACAATGTTTCAGGCAGAAGGAAAAGAGGATGCCAGAATTACAAGCTAATTCATAGGTATCAGAAATTAAGCTTCCATCTTCCTCAATGGAAAGTCTCCACATAGATCAGCATGAGCTTGAGAAAGGGCATCAAAAGATTTGTAGAAACTCAAATACATCAACTTTCGATTTTCTAAGTAAACACGAATGCTACCATCCATTGTACTTAGAAAGTAAGTGGCTGACTTACATCCACTTTCATTACCTGTATATAAAATAATGAAAATAGTTAACCAACTGCTTGGCTAAGCGAATCAGATGGGATAAAATGAAAGCTGAAGACAGCTAGATAAGCAGACGCACTCTAAAGACACCCGTGGCTATTCTGTATCAGGATCATTCTCTGGACCTAGAGAGGGCTAAAGGCAGAGAAACACTGATAAAGGGGAGGAGAAGAGATGGACAAGCCTTGATTCCGGATTGAACCAGCATCTTTCCGAGAGAAGGTGGGTGTCTCCGCAGAGAGCCTTCAGAGTTCAAGACGCGGGCTGGGCTGTACTTGGTGAGCCGGGCAGCTGCCCGGGTAGCAGAGCAGCAGGCGCAGGACCGCCTGGCCGGGGGCGCGCACACAGACGCCCGGCCTGGGACGGGACGCCCGCGCCGGGGCACACCCGCCTCACCCACACCCGGCACACCTCCCCGAGCCACCGCTGCGCCCGCGCTCGCCGCCGGCCCTGCTGGAGGCGGGGCGCACTCGGCTCCTTCCGCCCCGGCAGAGGCGGCAGGCCGGTGCGCCGCCGAGGCCCCGGGCCCTCCTTCCAACGGCCGCACGCAAATGAGGGCTCCGGCCACGCGCGTCGTGATTCGCGCGTTGGCGGCGGCGCTCGGGCGAGGGAGCCGGGCTTATGTAAATGAGCGGATTGTGTGTGCACGCTCCTATAGGCCGGGGTGTGAGGACGCGCGTGAGCCAATGAGAGCGTCGGGCGGACAAGCGGGGCTCTGCCTATAAAAGGGCGAGGCGGCGGCGCCGGCGTGCAGTTTCCTGTTTGTGAGAGTTTCTGTGTTTTCCATCATGTCTGGTCGCGGCAAGCAAGGCGGCAAGGCCCGCGCCAAGGCCAAGTCGCGGTCGTCCCGCGCCGGCCTGCAGTTCCCGGTGGGGCGCGTGCACCGGCTGCTGCGCAAGGGCAACTACGCGGAGCGCGTGGGCGCCGGCGCGCCCGTGTACATGGCGGCCGTGCTGGAGTACCTGACGGCCGAGATCCTGGAGCTGGCGGGCAACGCGGCCCGCGACAACAAGAAGACGCGCATCATCCCGCGCCACCTGCAGCTGGCCATCCGCAACGACGAGGAGCTCAACAAGCTGCTGGGCAAAGTGACGATCGCGCAGGGCGGCGTCCTGCCCAACATCCAGGCCGTGCTGCTGCCCAAGAAGACCGAGAGCCACCATAAGGCGAAGGGCAAGTGAGGCCGCTGCTGGCGCCGGCCCGCGTCTCGGGGAGACGCCCGCGAACTCAAAGGCTCTTTTCAGAGCCACCCACTGGTTCAGATTAAAGAGTTGTGTCACTCAGGGAACCGGTCTGGTGGCCTTGCCCGGCCCGTGCCCAAGGTGTCGGCTGTGGCGTTGCCACTCGCCTTGTGCGTCCCCAGCGCCCTCCCCACTCTTGTCCGCGGGCCCCCGGGTATTCTGCGTTCGGTCTTGGTTCTCCTGTGCGGGAGCGGGCGTGTTACTGTCCTAAGCACTCAGCGCCGTATGTCAGCCCGATGCACACCCCGGTAGGTATCCCGTCCGCAGCGACCAGCGCGCTGGCTCCCCACCTACAGTCCTGACAGCTTCCCGCTCCTCCCTTAAAACAGGAGCCCGACCACAGGCCGTCGAGGCCAGACGTCAGTCCCAACCAGCCGCCGCTCCCGCCCGCTCCTTCGGCAAAGTCTAGGAGAAGGGGACGTGTCCCGGCCGCAATGACGGCCGCGGCCAGCTCCCGGGATCGTGGGGCCCTGGGCGGCACTGAACACTAACTCTGTGACTTGGACGGGCGGGCGCGCTCCTCCCTGGCAGAGCTGGGAGCGGCCGTCTACCGGCGGCCACGAGAGGCGGCCCCACCCGCGGGGAACGTTGTCAAGTCCGCTCGCCGCAGGGCTGGACGAGGGGCGGGCGGGGCACCGGGGGGCGGGACACCAGGGGGCGGGGCAGGCCCGAGCCAATGGGCGGGATCGAGGTCGTGACGTCACGGCCAATGGCCCGTCAGCGCGGGACGTTCAAGTGGCTGTCTCCGCCCCGCCCGCGGGAAGAGTGCGCCTATAAAGACCGGCGGCCGGGGACCCGGGCAGGTCCCCGCGCTCCTGGTCTCGGTGTCTCTTGTTTCTGCCATGGCTCGTACGAAGCAGACCGCCCGCAAGTCCACCGGCGGCAAGGCCCCGCGCAAGCAGCTGGCCACCAAGGCTGCCCGCAAGAGCGCGCCGGCCACGGGCGGCGTGAAGAAGCCGCACCGCTACCGGCCCGGCACCGTGGCGCTGCGCGAGATCCGGCGCTACCAGAAGTCGACCGAGCTGCTGATCCGCAAGCTGCCGTTCCAGCGCCTGGTGCGCGAGATCGCGCAGGACTTCAAGACCGACCTGCGCTTCCAGAGCTCGGCCGTGATGGCGCTGCAGGAGGCGAGCGAGGCCTACCTGGTGGGGCTGTTCGAGGACACCAACCTGTGCGCCATCCACGCCAAGCGCGTCACCATCATGCCCAAGGACATCCAGCTGGCCCGCCGCATCCGCGGGGAGCGGGCCTGAGTTCTCGATCTCGGTTCCATCCCACCAAAGGCTCTTTTCAGAGCCACCACATGTGCCCGGAAGGAGCTGTTTGCTTCTGTCTGCGTGGTCTTCCACGGTCTCGGGAAGGGTTCGGTTTCGGGGTGATGGCCGAGCAGCGAAGAGCGCTGTTTCGGTTTCTCCAGGTGTTACATCTGTAGCTTTTAGTGTTTCTTTAAGGAATGTTTTTGTATTTGATAGCTGCGGACTAGTGCTCAGTATTTTGCTTTTTCTAGTCCCCCTAACGCAATCACTGCGCTTCATGTCTACTTAGCCATCCTTAAACTCTGCAGTCTTCCAACTGGTATGGTGCTGAGGTATAGTTGGTATTTCGAGATGGGCTGGAACGACTGGCCGTGAGTCTGACGCTAGGGAGAAACTTAATACTCTATCTCAGTCCAGGAGGTTAACGATCCGTTGTTTAACCTGGCCGGAAGTGATGGGTGCCACGCCCATCACTGACCAGTACTGCATGTGTGCTATGACCTGGTTGGGAAAACTAGTGCACCCATCACCTGAGTGCGAGTGGCTGAGCATATAGGGTGTTGCGTGCATGGTGATATACCGCGGCCCTGGCTGGAGCAGAAAGGGCTTTTCTAAACTAGCTGAACGCCCAGGAGACCTGGCTTCCCCCTACCTCATAATTACCTCGCTAAATTTCTAGACTGATGAAGATAATGGTCGCCCCTTCCCGTGCGTCTGATAGGCAATGTCTGGGCTAACTGTGATCATGGTCAGTGGTAAGTGGACCACTATCAGTAGTAATATCCAGTGATGCTCACCTTTCCTCTTAACACTTGAGGAATTAGACCTCTTGTTAGCATCTTGGAATTCAACATTTATTACTACCATCTGACCTTAGGATTCCGCGGCAATTTGTTAGTTTCTTCCCTTATTTCCATTTAATTTACTTTGAAATGCCAACCCAACTGTGTATATATACACAGAGACCTTTCCGTACAGACGTAGACTCCGGATGTCAAGGAAGGATCTGCTGCTATTCCTTGGCCTGAGGAGGGTCTTCTGGAGGGGTGGATATTGAACCTGTGAATCAGAGACCACAGTAAGTAATTCTGTCACTGTCAGGGACCTTCCCTCTTGTCTACTGCCTGAAACTTCCAGGAAGCAAACTTGAGCTTTGTCTAAATATTGAGACGTTATCAACCCAAGGCTCTTTGAATTCAAGATACTGGTGGTCATCGACCCAGGGAAACAACATGTCCCTCTTACCTCTCTGCCATCTGGGAGCACCCAGAGCTGGGAGGAGTTTTGGAGATGTGCTCCGCACCCAGTGAAAATGGAAAACAAAGACAGCCTGTCAACTGGGGTAAGGGTCGGGGTCTTGGAAAGGCTGCATTACACCCGATTCCTAATCCTCTTGATCACTGACACCTGAGACACCGAGGCCTGGAGGAACTGAAGCAGAAATACTTTTTAAAGTATTTTGCTGTTTGAAAGGAGTGAACAAAGGGGGAAAGTGGTCATTCCTGATAGTGTCCCTCCCAGTTTTCAGCCCTAGCCCCGCTAGAATTTTCCCAGTAGATTTTTGTTGTTGTTGTTGTTTTGGTTTGGTTTTTTTTTTGGGGGGGGGTTGTGAACTGAATTATGCTCCTGGGCCCCCATTCATATGTTGAAGCCCTACCCCACATACTTCAGTGTGCAACTAGAACCTTTCAATCAGCGATTAAATTATGACAACAGTGTCCCTGCCTATTACAGAATGGTGTTTGTAAGGGAGTATTAGAACACACGGGGTGACAGAAATGCCGTAAGAAGGTGGCAACTGCAAGCCAGGGAGAAAAGATCAGAAGAACCAATCCTGTCACCACTTTGGCTTTGTATGTCTAGTCTCCAGAATGAAGAGAAATTTTCTTCTGGTTAACCCACCCAATATGGGATATTGTGTTGGAGTGGCCTGCTATGGTTTGGATATGTGTTTCCCAGAGTTTTCTGTGTTCAAATTATTTCATTCAAAGGTCTCCAGTGTGGCTATGTTAGGGGCTGGGGGAATCTTAAATCGGGAGAGTCTAGTGCAACCTAATTAGAACATGAGGTCATCGTTCTCAGAATTAATTAGTGTATGCCCTCAGGAATTAGTTCTAGCAAAAGCTGGTTATCATGAAAGTGAGACCACCCTGTATGCTTGGCTTTCTGCATGTCGCAAGGTCCCTCTGTTTCTCCGCTGTATTGTAATGCAGCCAAGTACATGCTGTTTGGAGCATCTAGTCACCAGAACTGCAAGCCAAATATACATCAAGAACCTAGCCTTGGGCGTTTCGTTATAGCAACAGAAAATACGCTAACAGACTCCTAGCCAACTTACCCAGCTCACTTAGTTTCTGGTTAGGGCCTCACTCCCTGTTCAGAGCCGCAATGGATGACAGGGTCCTTCCAACCTGAACTCAGCTATGAGCAGAAAGTTCAGCAACGGCCTAAAGCTGTGTGGAGACAGCACATTTGCACCCGTCATCTTATTGAACTTTGCTTCGAAGGTTGAGCCCCAAAGTTCTCAGAACGTAAGTGGTTTTTCTACTACATCAAAGCTATTAGTGGCCAGATTTACACCATGAATTGAAACTAAGGCAGATTCAACAGCAAGATGCCAACCGAATTAGATACCAAAGATAGCCAAGATCGCCCCACCCACACCAGAAATCTGGATGACAACAGCCTGTCCGTGTCACGTTCTAAGGTAGTCAGGGGTCCCTGGCTTAGCAGAAACAGCGGTGGCCTGCCTCGGCCCTTCTCACTTTAGGCCGTTCATTCTCTCCTATGACTATGAGGACTCACTTGCCGAACTCAGACTACAGAATGTAGGAGAGGACAGAAAACGGAGGTGGGGGGCAGTGTACTGGGCAGTGCAGGACCCGGCCTCTCTTGGCTGGCGTGGGACGGTGGAAGCCCTCTCGTTTAATCTTCTCTGGCGTCCTATCAAAGGTGAGCCTTAGGGGTCAGTGACCTGCCTGCCTCAAGGCGGCTACCCAGCAGCTGTGAACTTTGATCACGAATGTGTTAAGTCACGTTCTCCGCTCAGCTGCCCTAAGCCTGCTCTTTCAGAGGGGAAGAAAAAGAGCTGACAGTTCAAATGAGTGTGTGCTTACTTCTGAGGAAATCACATTATTTGACCAAACTCCTCTCACCCAGGCTGGAATCAGCCTTCCCCAGGACTCTGCTGCCTAACATAGCAGCCACCTTAGGGACAACACACGCACACACACACACACACACACACACACACACACACACACGCACAACTTCCCAGAGCTGGGGCAACAGAATTTGGCTCTTACTGTGGTCTGGGAAGACCAGGAGGAATTCTCCAGAGCCTCTAGGCTTTCCTCAGCTGCCACAGGCGGTGTAAGGACAGCACTCACCTGTGACATTCCTGCCATTGCCCTCATTCTCACCACTGTCTTTGACAGGCCATCCGAGGCCTCATAAAACATTTGCAATCTCTTTTTGGTTTGAGAAACAAGGACAAAGCAGTAACTCTTTTTTTTAATGTTGGTATCAAAACTCACTGATAGCTCAGTGATGCTCTTCCAGGGGACCGAGTTGCGTTCTTAGTACCTAAAGACCTGATCAGGAAGTTCACAACAGCCTGTAATTCCAGCTTTAGGGGATTTAGTGCCCTCTAATGGCTTCCGGACACCCACACATGTGGCATATTATTACATAGACATATACACACACATAAATAAAAAAGTAACAATGATTTACGTACAAAAGGAGTGCTCCATTCTTTCGGTCTCTTGAAAATTCTCACAACAGAGCTTTCCAGATGGCTCAGGAGGTAAAGCCCCTTGCTAACAAGCCTGAGGACCTGAATTCAATCCCCAGAATCCACGGTAAATGCAGAAAATCAACTCCTGACAGTTGTTTTCTGACCTGGTTCATGGTGCTCACACACACACACACACACACACACACACACACACACACACACACACCAGTAAATAAACTTTTAAAGGAAAGAATATTCTCATAATACCAGATATTTCCAGGAAAAGTCAGACACAAAACCGGTATTATCTGGTGAATTTTTATACAGCTATGGCAGCTGTGACAGAGGTAGTGTGTCCTCAGCTAGGACAAATGTAGAAGTGGACACAGGTGGAGTCATGGCTGACAGGGTGAGAGGTACAGTCAAACAGATTTGGTGACCTGGCATTTGGAAAATGCAAGAGGAAGAAGCCTCTGGCCTGAGGAGCGGTTCTGAACGTTGGGTGACTGTTTCACAGTGATTGCCTAAGACCATCAGAAAACATTTATATTACAATTTATAACTAGCAAAATTACAGCTATGAAATAGCAATGAAATAACACAACACGAGAAACTGTGTTGTGGAATAGAATATTTGTTTAACTCTGTAAAGATGTGTTGTATTTGCTTAACTATGTAAAGATGTGTTGCTGTTTCACCTTGCCTGCCTAAACACCTGATTGGTCTAATAAAAAGCTGACCAGACAATAGCTAGACAGAGGAGGGATAGGTGGGACTGGTGGGCAGAAAGAAAAGGGAAGCAGGCCAGCCATGCCAGCCAGACATGGAGGAAACAGGAAAGCAGATGGACATGTATGTATGTAAATAAGACAAATGAGCCCCCAGGCAGCACACAGATTAACAGAAATGGGATAATTTAAGTTAAAAAAAAAAACTATCTGGAAACAAGCCTAAGCTAAGGCCGATCATTCATAATTATTAATAAGTCTCCGAGTCATGATTTGGGGGCTGGCAGTCCAAGAAAGCCTGCCACAGAACTGTATTAAAGGGTCGCTGCATTGGGAAGGTTGAGAACCACAGAACTAGAATATAGTGGTCGATTTCAGTAAGGAGGAAAATGATGGCCGAGAAAAACAATTGACAATTCTAGAGCCAAGACGTTACACCAAGTCCCTGCTGACACAGAAACTGAGGTTCCTTGGATCTAGAGAACACTCTGGCAGCTGGGAATTTTAACCTATTCATTGAGGTGGCTCCGCCAGACATGTTTGTGGGGAAGCTCTAGGCAGATAGCTAGAAGGATAACAGAAGACAGGTCTGGATGAAATCTACCCATGCATTAAAGAGAAGGGGCTGGAGAGATGGTTCAGCAGCTAAGAGCACATACTACGCTTGTAGAGAACCTGAGTTCAGTTCCCAGCATGCATGTCAGGCATCTCACAACCACTTGTAACTCTAGCTTCAGGGAATCTGACATCCTCTGGCCTTTGCAGGCATGCACCTTCATTCACACACACACACACACACACACACACACACACACACACACACACACACAGACCAAGGTTTAAGTTATTGGTCCACATAAAAAAATCGATGGGAGAACTCCTAAACTAGAAGGGATGGCTGGAGAGAGATGAAGGGCATGAGGAGAGACTGTGGCTGAAGGAGGCAAAGGTGAGATCAACTGGGCCACGTTGTGACACTTGGAAATGAGAATAGCATGTTTCTTAAGCTCGGGGTCTGCCGACGGCCGAGGGATCATCACAACAACCTCGCAAAGCAGGCAAGGACACTCAAGTATTTTGCCCAAACTCCCTCGACTAGTGTCAAGACAAAAGTATGAAAGGGACCCCAAAGCTCATATATTTAGGGAGAAAACTCTCAACAGTTCATACTGGGAGCTCAGAGGGGAAGGACAGGAAGCACGTGATGCCCAGGGCATTCGATGCCCAGGGCTCAGTGCCTCACTGCATCAGCTGACTCTGCTTCCGGCTCAACTCCGTAACCATGCAGGGACAGACTCCTCCGCCCCACGCCAGGGATAGTTTGTCACGCCTATGCTTTCAAATCTTTCCAGGCTCTCTACTCCTTTACCTTCACAATGATATCTACACCATATGCTGAATCGGAAACCCTGCAGACAGCCACAGGCTCAGTCCTGGCTCTGCCCCCCACCACTGCAAGGCTGGGGCAGACGTTGAATCTTCATCTCTAAAGATGGTCGTCATCTCTAAAGTGGAGAGCATGGACGGGCCAATGGTGTTTGGAGGCATTTAAGGAAATAATTCCCACAATGACAAACGAGTGTCATCTTAAACAAACAATAGAAACATTTCACTGTTGTTAAATATTCAAAAAGTAAAGTTACAAAGGTATGCTTCATTTCCACCCCTGAATTGCAAAATTACCCCCTTTCTATCCTCCACCCCTGACTCACCCTGGCCTCTGACTAAATTCACAAGCTATTCATCTGTCAATGTAAAACCTGTATCTCTCATCTTTTTTTTCCCCCAGATCTAGGGACTGAACCCAGGGCCTTGTGCTTGCTAGGCAAGCGCTCTACCACTGAGCTAAATCCCCAGCCCCCCATATCTCTCATCTTAAAGGGAACAAGAGATAGTTTATTCTGGAGTTACTTGAGTGACCATGGCCCAGGAGTACAGATTTAGGTTACCCCAAATTCCATATCCCAATGTGAAATCAGATTCATGAAGTTTTACTGAACAAATACAGTCATAAATCAAGGCAAGTTTAAAATACATTGGTCAGCACCTCTGAGAGGCGATTATAGGAAGATGGGAGAAAAGCTTTTCTACAGGTCCAAGATACTGTTCATGACAGTCTTCGCTTTGGGGTTGGTCTATTAAGTCAATAGATCCCAAGGGTTTTTATCTGCTAGTCATAGGACGTTAGTTCTGACGCAGATGGGCAAGGAACGGCTGTCCTGGGGGCTGAAGCTATCCCGAGACAAGGTAACGTCTCTGGGTCTGTTACATTCCAACCTCTCCATGGTACTGCAATGCTCATCAGTCCCCTCTGCAGACAGCCTCTTTTCAGGAGTTCTTGTACTTACATCTACAGACGTAAGTTTGGCCTGGCCCTGTCCAGTCTCTGTGATTCCCAACTACGCCCCTGATGTGGCAAGATCCTTTTTTATGTTCAGGTATCTTTCTCTCCTTGGTGGGATTCATCAGAACGCATCCCTGGGAAGCTTGCTCACATGCCCTACTACCACCTTCACTTACATAGACTCTTCAGGACAACAGCCCACATTCTCAAGTTCCAAAA